CGGTCGGAGATGCTGGGTGCCCAGTAGCTGCAAAGGCTGCCCTCACATTTATGGCCAGTGACCGACATGATCTCCCTGCTCTCCAGGCCAGCTTGGGATAGCAACTGCACAGCCGTGGCCCTCAGACTGTGGTTAGTGTATCTTCGAGAGAGTCCAGCGGCCTCGCTGATTCTGGGCAGCATTTGCCTGAGCCAGTTGTGGCCCATGGGCTCCCGAGAGTACCACACAGCCTCTCTGTTGATCTTTTTTAAGCAGGTGCAGGTAAAATGATTAAGCATCAGGGGGACAAAGAGATAAATATTTAATAAATTTGACGGGACAATTTGGGTTTTGTGGCTCTCCAAATATGCATCCTCTGTAAATTTGTTTGCATGGATCTCTGGGATCTTTGTCAATTTTCCAATTTTTAGGCGCTTTATTAATAAATGTCAAAGGTGAATCAATACATGATATTTACAGTTACAGTAGATAATGGCAAAAGGAACATTTTTAAAAAAACATATCTTTTTCATTTAAATTACTTTTCCCCAATTTTACATTTTTACTAATACAACGGTAAACTTTTCAAAGCAGACACAAAGATCGAGGTACAATACAAGTTTACAAGATTGTTAAATTACATCACACACTAACTCTCTAATAAAAACATTTTGAGTTTTCCACAATATAGTAAGTTCATCACAGCTGTGTTTCTTTTTGTCTATGCGTATGTAGTCTTTGACTAATGTGAAAGCAATCTTCACAGCAGATTCTGGGGATTTAAAGACATTCTTAAATGCTAACAGATTTCTACATTTCCATATTCCATCTTTAGTGCAGTTAATAGCCGTCCACCATTTTACATCTTTACCGGTTTCTTTTGGGTCCATATCACCATACAATATATCATCAGCATCACGACTCCTATGCAAGTCTATAAGCCATGTGTTAACAATTCCCCACACTCTTTGTGCAAATGGACAGTCCCAAAAGAGATGGATTACAGATTCATCCACATGACAGTTTGATCTAGGACACACTGGGTTTCTGGTGCATCTCCTTCTATACAGAAGGGCTCTGGTCTGGAGGCAGCCATGAACTGCCTTCCAGGCCAGATCTTTATGACTGTTAAAAAGTGATTTGCAGTTTACATTTTTCCAGATCTGGGTACACTTTGTCTCTACAAAAATTCCCACTGGGACAAGGCCCAAGGAATGGGTAGAAAGTCTCTCCTCGATGTTTTTTCTGTAGATACCTCCTGATTGAGACTGTTCCAATTTTGCAGATTTGAAGATTGTCAAAGCTTTTTCATACAAGGCTAGCCTCGTCTCTGCATGGGGGGTTTCAAGAGGGATCCTTCTACCCATTCCAGCTAAAATCCCATGACCCACCCAAAGTCTTGTAAAATTACACCATAGACTGGCATTATCACTCAACACAGCATTGACAATAGGAAGAAGAAACAAAGCATCAAGTTTGGCACAGAAGTCAGGTACTGCCTTTCCTCCTTTGTTCAGAGGCTTGTACATTATTTCTCTTTTTAGCAATTCCTGTTGGGAACCCCATATAAATTAAAACATTGCTTTTCTCAGGCCAGTGAGGAAAAAGTTGGGGACTGGTATGGTGGCTGCAAGAAAGGTGAGGGAGGCCAGGACCTCTGCCTTCAGGACCAGGACCTTCCCTGTGATGGTGAGATCTCTTTGTTCCCAGCTGAGCAGTTTCCCTTATATTCTAGGGAGCCTTTGTTCCCAATTTACCATTTCCATCTCCCTCCCTATCTCAATTCCTAGTAGTTTTATTCTGTCTGTTTTTTCCTCCAGGCCAAGATCCAATTTACCCTCCCACCAATTCAGATATAAGATCTCACTCTTGGCCCTGTTTAGTTTAGCCCTAGAGGCATGAGAGAAGAGATTGCACCATCTGAGACTATTAAAAACAGATCTGTTATCACCGCATAAAATACTCAAATCGTCCATGTACAGTGACACTTTGGCTTCCCTCCCTCCACTCCCAGGAACAAGCAGGCCGTGGATAGAGGGATCCTGTTTGATAGCACAAGCAAGAGGCTCTATTGCAAGAATAAACAAAATGACAGCTAGAGGGCAACCTTGTCGAATCCCACCCTGTACCTTAAAGGGAGCAGTATGAGTGCCATTCACAATAACCTTACTACAACAGTTAACATACAATAGATTGATCCAGGCCCTCAGCTGAGGACCAAAACCAAAACTCAACAAAACTCTTTTAAAATAATCATGGTTAATTTTATCAAAAGCCTTTTCTAAGTCTAGGCCTGATATACAGAGAGGAAGCTTGCGGACTACTGCATACAGATAAGAGTCTTGCACCAGGGAGAGACTGTCACCCATACTTCGGCCTGATACTACACAAGTCTGTTCTACTCCTACATTCTGATCTATTACTTTGTGTAAACAGAAGAAAAGTGCTTTCGCTAAAATTTTGCGGTCAACCCCAAATAGTGTGAGGGGGAGCCAATTTTTAATATCTTTTTTGTTTCCCTTTTTGAACAAGAGAGTGATGGAGCCTTCTCTAAGGAATGATGGTAATGTTCCAATACTCAAACTCTCAAACATTTCAAGAAGCGGGCCCTTTAATTCTTCCCAAATGGTCACATATAATTCTTTCGGCAAGACGTCTGACCCCGGGGCTTTGTTGTTTGCCATACTATTCACTGCTTTTGTTAGTTCCTCTACAGACAGTTCAATTTCAAGTTTTCCATTAACATCAGTTACTTTTTTATTTATTTTTGACAGTAGCTGTGACATGGCTGTTTCATCTAACTCCTCAGATCTGTAGAGATCGGAGTAAAAGGAGTGAACACAGGTAAGTATATCATTCATTTCAGTCTTTTCATTACCATTCCTCTCGTAAAGTGCTTCAATGACATTTCTAGGTTGTGCTAGTGAAAAAAAAAATATCTTGTGCATTTTTAATTTGCTTCATAAGGACAGAGGGATGTCGTATGCTGTAAAGCCCTGTGAGGCAAATTGTGATTTATGATATTGGGCTTTATAAATAAAATTGAATTGAATTGAATATGTTGTAATCTGCTACGTGTTAGCAAGCCATGGCTAGCTGATACGGAGGCGTTTAACATTTCTCTTTTTAGCATAGTTATTTCATCGGCCAGCCAGCATGAGATAATAAATGAAGACGCTGCAACTTAGCCTGCTGTTTATTTAGCTTAAAGCCTTTCCTCTTGCTACTCTTGTACCTTCCTCTATGAAAAATGACTTAGCGCTACCTTTCACATCCTCCCACCATTCCCCAATGGAGTCAAAGGCGAACTGAAGAGAAGACCAGAGAGATAACTTTTTCTTAAATTTTCTAACCACCCCTTCATCTTGCAGAACAGAAACATTAAGCATCCAAGAGCTTTTACCTCGTTCTGTCACATTTTTTAAGACTCGAGGTCTAGAAAGGGGGTAGAGGGGGGTGGGGCGTTAGACCATACCTCTACATCTGGGACGTTGATGGAGGGGGTCCCTGAGATCCCCTTGGGCTGTTTCAAAGGTGGTGTGCTCTCAGTGGACGAGGAGGGGATGGAAGAGCTTGCAGCACCACCCGGGGAGGACAGGTCTTGGAGGCCTAGGTCTCGGAGGTCTCAGAGGTCTCTGCAGTCAGATGGTGTGGCACTGGGTGGGCGGCACTCCTCAGGGGCTGAGTCTGGTTGGCCGTGTAGCAGGTCCTCCTGGAGCTGCCGCATCACCTGGGCGACGGGCCTCTCTTGTTCAGTTACCAGCAGTCCCCGCTGGTTCGGATGTACCTCCTCAATGGGTTTGAACTCCCCAGGAAGACACCTGCCTGTCTGGAGCTCCAATGTTGCCTGGCTTGAATAGACCACCTCCTCCTCATGCAGAAGATGTTTTGCTCCTTTAGCTGTCGGAGCATGAATGTAGTTTCCTCGTCCGTCTAAAAATGCTTCTTCTGCTTCTTGATTGCCATGGTGTTTGTTTTTCAGGGAGTTACGGCACTGCTGCTCTTTCTCTTTCCCGCTCTCTTTCTTCTTCCTCCGGGTGAAAGCCCGTGAAAGAAAAAGTGGTGCATGTGCAGAATGCCAAAGCCAATCAAAGTGTCTGTAATGTGAGCTGAATGTGAGGAGACAAATGTATTTTAAACTCTTTCCACTGATTTTTTAAATCTTGTCAAGTAAAACGTGAATAAAATTTGTCAGTCTCATTACAAAAGTGTTGTATATTAACGTCCTGTAGATTATCAGAGCCTTTATAGTGTATGGTTTTGGTAATTGCTGTATAGTGAACACCATCAGTTATTATTGTATGGCTGTGAATGAGTGCCCTGTGTGTGCCTTGTGGATAATGGTATTTTCTCTAATCAGGTATCACTCCTAGTCACATCTTGCCTTTCTCTGCCACTGGTGTAATGAAATCATGGTCTTTGGAATGACAACTACTGGTTGCAGAAGGAATGCAGTTCTGTTTCAACTTCAGGATGACTTGGAAATGGATCACCTCTAGAGCATCATCCAGACAGAATTTAGCCATCCTTAACTGGACTATGTGTTTTCCCTGCCTGGAAAGAAGATTTTTGAGGTAATCTTCACAATTTACAGCTTGTTTGAGCAATTCCTGGAGTGTTTTCACCAGAAAAAGGACAGTCCAAGACTCAGTAAAGTTCTTCTGATCCCACTTTCAGAGAGGGAACCAAAAATAGTGACTGTGTGATCATGTACTCTGAAAAAGTTGCAACTGAAGACATAGCCACATGGTTGTCTTTTCATTGTACCTTTTTACGAAGCATGGAAATGAGGGATGAGGATGGAATTAGAACTGGGGCCAGGTGTTTTTATGTGAGGCTGAGGAGAGAAGTTAAAGCTGATTGACTTCACCACTTGCCTTCCACCATCCAGCTGGGACCAATTAGGGGCCATGTGTTTTATGCTGGGCAACCAAAGACCTGCAGGAAGTGTGGCTGTTCATCTCACCTTGTAGCCAACTGCAGCGCCACCCTCTGCAGAAACTGCAGAAATATAGCCCACAACACAGACATGGTGACCGGCCTATGAAATGAAACCTCTACGGGCAGAGCCGGCCCTCCCTATAAGGCGAATTAAGCGGCTGCTTAGGGCCCTGCAGCCACTAGGGGCCCCCCAGATGGATGCATGGTAAACTGAATTGACTGTCTCACACCTGCGCAGACCTGGCAACCCCCTTATTTACAATGAACTGCAACCTAGTTGTTCATAGGGAGGAATGTGAGGATATTCATGTTTGCTTAATAAAAATCTGGCAACGATGACTATTGAGTCAACATCAATCGTCAACATGCATACATGCATGCATGCACGCATACGAAGATGTTGAGGTGGGCATATCTCTCAGGAGCGGAGAGAGGAAGAAAAAAAAAGGTCGAAGAGGCAAACAAACAAGCTCAAGGTAAAGTCAAGTAAAGCAACGTTTGTCACTTGCCAGAATGGGTGATTATGTTAGTATGTGCAATACGTGTTTTTAGAGTGTCTGTTCAAAATTTACAGACCAGTTTGTTTGTTTGTTTGTTTGTTTGACTAATGAACACACACAGTGTAGAGTTTCAAATGATTATGGTGAAACCTAACATTCAGCAAGGTTGTTACATCCTTCACTTTCAATATAATTCATAAAATAAATAAAGTAATCAATATATCACTTTTTCAGAAGGAGCAATATTCAAATATTTTGGTGGTGGTGGAACCAGAGAGGATGAAAGCACTGGGAAGTGAAAATGTTTTAAAATTTCTGTTCACTTTGTTGTCATCTTGTTCGTGGATGTTACCTGGTGTAATTGCTTATGTTTTATCTACTCTTAATGTTACGCATGTTCTATTTGTATTCTCACACAGCAGCTGGAGATGACAATACTCCAACTCCTGGTTCATCCACAGAGGACACATAAACAGATGTTCCTGGTACATAAACTATATTTCCAACAGGAAATTAAAAATGTCTTTGTTTACAGCAATTTTAACTCATTTATGATTTTTAGATATAATGAGTAAGATACTGATATAAAGTAAGAGTTAACATTAAATCTTCTTGTTTTTTTCCTACCAGGCCCATCATCATCCCACACTGAAGCTGACTCATCTTCAGCCCCTGGGACTGGTTCCAGTGATGCATTTGGTAAGTTTCATGTTTGCTGCCAAATTGTGGATGTCTTTCTTGGAAAATTAAGTTGTGTACAAAAAATGACTTAATTACTAAAGCTTTTCCAAATGATTTTACTCCTCAGATCCAGGTAAAACTGCTGATCAAAGTCACCCAACATCTATTCTTCAGTGAGTGAGTGTAGTAGTAAACTACGGCCCATCATGTTAATAGAGGTAAAAATTTAATGCATAAGGTTTATTATTGCATGGTTATCTGGTTTTGTGTATCCTTATCTGTCTGTTTTTGGCAAGGTAGGGCCCCCGGAGCTTATCCTGCTCAGGGCCCCCAGATGTCCAGGGCTGGCCCTGTCTGCAGGTCAGATACCCATACATTCAGGAGTTGCCCTGAGTCTTATGCAAACAGAGCCTGACAGTCAAACATATGTTTTGACCATCAGGAGCCTTCACCATCAGAGGAACCTCAAGCCCATCTGTAATATACCAGTGAGGCAGACCAGCAGGGATCAACCCACCAAGACAACAACCCAGAGCAACCTGGAACAGCAGGCTGTCCAGCCCCACAGATCACCACCTAGATAGACCTAGACCCACCAACTCCAGGCCCCCAGGAGATATAGCATTCCCGGGAGGACCTCCCAGCTGGCCAACCTTTGTTGACTTGTCCCAACAGTGGCCCAGTGTCATCCGAGGACTGTAGAGATCTCCTAGATTTTATGTTGGCAGACTTACCCTCCCCTGATGGCACTGTCAGCACCCTGCATCTGGTCAGTCAGGCTCCAGCTGGGGACACAGGTGGCTTCCCTCCTCCCCTCTGCCCTCAGATACCCCCCTAGCTGGTACACTATCTTGAAAGCGGCCCCAGGAGACATCAGAGGACTCCTCCATATCAGGTCTGGATCCAGAGGTGTGGTCTGACCCCTTGTCCACCTCTTCCCCTTTTCTAGGCCACTCAAATGATTGGTGGCGTAAAGGAGGTGGAGGGGAACTGGACATCACAAAAGAAGAAGAAAAAGAAAAAAGACAGGTCTCCCCCAATGGTTTGAGGTTCTCTTTTTCTGTAGACTCTGGATCTCNTCTATCTCCCTTTCCCTGCTTCTTACAATTACACCCTTGTTTTTCATTTCTGCTAAAACTGACATCTCTTTTTTAACTTGTTTTATTTCTTCATTAAAATCCATCCCTTGTAGGTTTAGGTTAAAATATCTCTGAAGTCGTTTTTGCAGTCCCCAACATGAGTCTGTCATCCCTCTTTTTTTTTTTTTTTTCTCTCACCTGCCTGTCTAAAGAAAGTCTGGGTCCGTCCCTTAACCATTTCCCACCAGTGTGCACGTGTATAGTAAAAGTCTTGAAGGGTCTGCCACTCTCTGTACTGCTCCCTATACTGTCTAACTCCCTATCTTCTAGAAAGGAGCAGTTGATTTTCCACAGACCACTTCCTGAAGTCACACCAGAAGGTAGTGATAGGGTGAAGGATAGCATTGCGTGTTCGGAAAAGAAAACAGGTGTTAAGATAGCATCGGCTGGTGGGCAGTCACGGGATAAAATGTAATCTATGCAAGAGGCTCTGGTGCCATCAGACTGACCAGACTGCAAGTCTTCTAAAAGGTCATACCTGTCATTTTTATCATTAAAGCCATAAATATTTAAGATATTAAAATCCTTTCCCATACAAGTCAAGAGTGATAAAAGTGCCCGGCCATTTCTCACCACAGTACTGCCTTTCACTAAGCCAAGAGGATTTTTGATCAAAATAGCCACTCCATCATTTTAGCTTTCATTTGATCTGCTCCAGATTGATGTTCTTGGCCATAAGTTCTCCCATTCTCTATAGTGGTTTAAAATGGTAGGCCTCATTCTTGTATTAAAAACACATCTGACTTAAAAGCGTTAAGACAGGATAAAACAGTCTGAGCTCTAACTCTCGACTTTATGCTTCTCACATTGATAGTAGAGAAGGTGAGAGTCATAAGTATGGTTAAAAATAACAAATATGAGATTTTAAAAGACTAAAAGAGACACTTCAGTGTTATAACAATATCTTCAAAAAGACATTTAGTCACATTTGTGTGAATGGAGCTCTTCCTTCACTCTTATGGGTGAAAGGTGACAGGATCGAACTCCATTTCCCTTTCGGACTCTTGGAGTTGGTCTCTGCCGCAGGTTTGCGTTAAGTTTTGAGTCTTTAGGGGTTGATTGCAGAGCTATGGTTAAAAATTAGACCTCATTTGGAGAATCGGAAGGGAAGACTCTGGGTTCCTCCACAGATGAACTGTCTGAGTCGTAGCTTTTCCCTTCTTCTCTGAAACCACAGGTGAGTCAGAGGACAATTCTGATATAGGCCTCTTGGCCTGCTGGGCACTGGGGAGGGTGGCATCCTCACTATCAATTTCATGGTCTATGCTAGCTCCGCCCTCTGCCTGCATCACCCCAACCTCTTCCACACTTTTCACTGGTGGGGCGATTGCAGGCCCCTCCTTTTCTCCCACTTCACCTGATCCCTGTTCTCCAATCACAGGATTTGGTGGGAGATTTGAATTTTACAGCCCAGCCTCTTCAAATAGCTCTGTAAACTCATCATTTTGTCTACCATTCTGTGCATTTTCTGGTTGCTTCACTGCTTTCATTTTGTTGGCAAAAGACATGGGGCAGTCTCTGAAGAGGTGGTTGGTTTCCCCACAGAGATTGTATTTTCCGCCATTGGTACATTCCTCAAAAGTGTGTCCATTTTCTCTACATTAACCACAAATGATTTGCTTGCACGCTTCTGCCAGGTGCCCATATTCACAACATTTGCAGCAGAGCTTAGGCAGGCCCTGGTAGTGAATGTAGCCCCTGTTGTTACCCAGAACTATCATTGGTGGCAGCTGTTTCACCACGACATAGACCTCTGCTTAGTGCACTATTCTACATTGCACTAAATCACTGGATAAGTTTGGCATCTGGTACGGAGTTAGAAAGTACAAGGTCAAGATGCACAAAGACAGAACCAAACAAAATATTGAAATACCAAGTTCCATCTCTCTTGGACCATACAACAGTCACATCATCTACCTGAGACAATCATCCAGCTGCTTCACAAGGCCAAAGACTGTACAGCAGAAGGCTTGTGCAGCCTGTGCAGAGGAACAGGTCACACCTTTTTCACCTGCTCAAACTGCTATACTAATAAAACAAGAGCACCAAAGCAGCCAGGTCTATTGCCAACACTGCAGTGGCTGCCCGGCCTGTTGTCAGACGAGCAGCAGCGGACCCTCCAGCCAACCGCTGAGCAACCCAACATTCCACCTGTCCAGAAGCAGCAGCAGCCCAGTAGTCAGCCGGCACACCGTCAGCAGTAGCCCCACCCTCAGTCTACCGCTCAGCAGCAGCGCTCCAGAGAGTCCACCGCCAAGCAGCGCAACTCTAAGAAAGCCCTTCAACATCAACATCAGCAGCCCTGCAGCCAGCCAGCAGACCAACCACAACAGCCCCGTCACCAGCACTTGGTCCTACAGCCTGACGGGCTTAAGGTCTGCACCTTCCTGCTTGATGACAAGCCTACACCTTAGGACTGACATCAACTCTTACCATGAGTTTTTTTAAAGATGCCACCTGGAATGCTCGTGGTATTCAGACGATGTCATTAAGAAAGGACAAAACTGAATATCTACTTAATACTGACTTTGACATCTTATGTACTCAAGAACTGAGACTGAATACGAACAATGATGTTGATGATGTTAGTAAATTGTGGCAAAAAGAGAAATGTGTAATATCTGTAGGTGAAAGTAAAGCTGATGGTGTTGGTATATTTTTCAGAAATCACGATGTTAACATAATTAGAAGAAGAGAGATTATCTCAGGGAAGACTGCTGATGCTGGATTGTTATTATCGGTGAAAAATATACTACTACTAATCTGTATACTGCGCCAGATGCTTGTAAGAAAGTCCAGTTATTTAAAAGACTTAGAGAATTGATATTGGTTGGATATAGAATTATTTTATGTGGAGATTTTAATACAGTAATGGATGAAAATGACAGATGCAGCACAAGAACATTTAAACTGAGCCCAGAAGTTAAACTCTTAGAAATCTGTAATGAAGCTAAGTTGATAGATGTATGTAGAGCTGTTCATCCTTCTGGACTTTATTTTACAAGGTTTGACACTAAAACCAAAACTCCAATAGATAGAATTTATGTGTCTTCACATTTTAAAACTCATTATTCAACTGTTTTTAATGACTTCTCTGATCACTTCGTAGTGAAAACCTATCAGTCATGTGGAACCTCCACTAACAGAGGTTTCTGGAAACTAAATACTCAGTGTTTAAAACATACAGACTTATTAATAGAACTGAAACAACAATACAACTAAAAACTCTAACCAAATCTGATATAAATTATGGGAAATATTAAAACATAGAATAAAAGATTTCTTGAAATACAAATGTAGACAAATGTAGTTAAAAATATAAATTATGATACATTAATGAAGAAATATATTAGTCTTAAACAGAAGAAGGAAAGATCTATTAAGGAAGAAACTGTCAGATATTAAATTGCAACTAGATAAACATAACAATGACTTATTTAAATCACAAAGTACAGTTATTAAATCTATAAAAAATAATTTTGGTGATACTGTCCATGGTGAAAGGCAGAAAAGAGAAGTGATCAGAGACCTTTGTGCTGATGCATATAAAAAAATAGATAGAGATGCTGACTGTGTTAATATTCAGTCAAAACATGTCCCTTTATACAGATCGCTGACCTTCACTGATCTTATTGGTAATATCAGAAAAGAAGAAGTGGTGAATGCAGTCCAACAATTAAACTCTGGTAAAAGTCCTGGTCCAGACAAGACTGTCCACTGAGTTTTAGCAGTTGTATATAGATGATGTAATTGACCTTCTTACTGTGGTGTTTAATGAAGGTTTAACACAGGGATCAAGCTCAGGAGCCACAACCTGATTGGTGAGATGCAGACCCTTCTTCAACGGAGTCAGATTGTCGCTCTCACTGTCAGAGTTGTAGCCCACATCATTCTCCAGGGATCCCTCTGTGTCTGCATGCACCTCATCAGCAACCACCTCAGCAGCAACCACCTCATCATCTTCATCCTCCGCTGCTTGAAGGGTCTCTCTGGTCTGAGCGTAATGGTCTGGAGCGCTGAACGGTTCTGACGACTGAGAGAACAGATACTCCAAACCAATTCGCTCGTCCCCAGCAGGCACAGGAGGCCGGTAGTTTGCCTCCTCAACCTCGCCAAACAAGTCCTGGCACCTCTGGTTGAGGCGGTCTATCAGAGGAGACACGTACACCATGTGCTTCCTCCCTTTCTGGCCTTTGACGGCGGCTGACTCCCTGTCAGAGTTCCAGCGTGCAATTCCACTGAGGAGATACACCTGGAAGGGGACTGCGGCACAGTGGGGCCCCGGTATCATGCTGGGCAGGAAGGAGTGGAATCCCTCCAGGCTGTTGCTTCCTCTCACTGTGCTGTAATGTGGCAGGTGCACACCATTACAGGTGATGTGCTTGGTGATGGTGTACATGTCTCTCCCTGGTGGATCCTGAAGACACTCCAGGTGTTTCTGCTGGTTCTCCCAGACACGGTCAATGGCTGCTGCATCCTTGAGCAGGTGGACCTGGTTCTCATCCATCCCAGCCGGTCCCTTCAGGATGTCGATGGCATTCTGCACACGTGCAAATGTCTCCAGGGCTCCAACAGTGATCCTCCTGACATAATGCTTGAGATCATTTTTGCTGACATGCATTTCAATGATCTGAACATCAGAGAGGGAATCATACTTGGAGTGGTGACCTGCACGTATAGCCTGGATGAGCAGCGCCATGTCGTCCTTATTATATGAGAACACCGCAGCAGAGAGCGCAGACTTGAAGAGAGCGTACTTGGGTGGTGATCTGTTCTGACAGCTGCATCAAATCTGTGAATCCAGTGGAAGATGTCAAGCCGCACCATCATGCCACTGTCGGCCCACTCACTGAACAGCTGCTCCAGGTGTGACACACCATGAACGCGACA